TTAATTTATTTATTTATTGGTCTTTTTGAGACAGGGTCTCCCTGTAGCCTCAGCTGTCCTGGAACTCTCTGTAGACCAGGCTGGCCTTGAACTCACAGGGATCCGCCTGCCTCTGCCTCCCAAGTGCTGGGATTAAAGGCGCAAGCTACCATGCCTGGCAGGATATTTTATTTAAAAAAATATTTTGTTAACCTTATTTTGTATATAGGAGTTTATTGTCTACATGCATGTAAGTGTACCTCTGTCATACAATGCCTGTAGAGGTCAGAAGAGGGTGTTGGATCTCTGGAACTGGAGTTACAGACAGTTGTTAGCCAATATGTGGGTGCTGGGAACCAAAACCGGGTCCTCTGCAAAACCAGACAGTTTTCTTAACCACTGAGCTACCTCTTCAGCCCCTATAATACTTTATTAAAAAATACTTTTAAAAATTAAACTAGCTGGGAGTGGTGGAGCATGCTTTTGATCCCAGCAATTGGGAGGAAGAGGCAGGCAGATCTTTGTGAGTTCGAGGACAGCCTGGTCTGCATAGTGAGGTTCAGGCCAGTTGGGGATACAGGAAGACCCTGTCTCAAAAAAAAAAAAGAGCGAGAGCGAGAGCGAGAGCGAGAGCGAGAGAGAGAGAGAGAGAGAGAGAGAGAGAGAGAGAGAACAAAAGGTTTAGAAGAGGATACAGTCTTTCCCCCCCCCGCCCCCGGGGCTATAGGGAAACCTTGTTTCAACAAACAAAAAATGACAACAGCAAATTAAGCTAAAAAAAATTTTGTTTGAGACAGGCTCTCACTGTGTAGCTCAGGCTGGCCTATAACTTGCTTTTTAAACCAGGCGAATTGAAAGGAAAATTTTAAAAATTTATTTTTCATAAAAACATATTTAAAATTGCTGGGCGTGGTAGCACACGCCTTTAATCTCAGCACTTGGGAGGCAGAGGCAGAGGCAGGCAGATCTCTGTGACTTCAAGGCCAGCCTGGTCTACATAGGGAGTTGCAGGTCAGCTGGGGCTACAGGGAGACTGAAAAAAAAGAGGAAAAATATATTTAAAACTACATTTTAATTTTTCTAAAATTTATTATTTTTATGTGCATGAGTGAACTGCCTGCACATAAAGCATGGATAATAAGCATGTCATGCAATACCCACAGAAGTCAGAAGAGGGTGTCAGATCCCCTGGAACTGGAATTGTGGACAGTTGTTACCTACCATGTGGGTGCTGTGAACCAAACCTAGGTCCTCTGCAAGAACAGCCATTGCTCTTAACGGCTGAGCCATCTCTCCAGCCCCTCATTATGTTTTGGGGGTGGAATATCAAATTGAGGTTCCCAGGAAACAAAATCAGGTGCTCAGGTCACAAGACACAAGAACACAGGGTTTTGCCAGAGTTAAGAGTCATTAGCCCAGATTATGTCTATTTTATAGTCATTCCTACAGCAGCATTCTTACAGGCAGGTCTCCTAGTCAGCTACTGGGAAAATACAGTATATGTTGTCAGCTTCTACCACAGGGAACACTACAGTGGCTGGCAAATGTGCTTGGCATTTTGTTTTATAATCTCAGCTCCGTCCTCAGGTATTCCCCCAGCATTCATTACAGTAATGGGAGTACTTGAATTTCGGCTGTCTGTAACCACAGAGCCAATTAGCAGAGACTGGGATTGAGTATTCAGGCTGTGCTATATTGAGTGTTGATAATCTGAGAAGGCAGTGGGTTGACATGCTAGAGATATTCGTTATCTATCATCTCCAGCTAGCAGACTTCATAGAGAATGGGAAAGGTGGTCAGTCATTCCAAAGTGGAGTCTTGTCTCTCTGGTCAGGTAGTCAGCTTTGTCTCTGAGATGCCTGATGTTGACTTGACTCTTACTTCCCCTTGCACTTTGCCCTCATAATCGTCTCCTTCTGGACAGTGGGGTTTGCATCCTCCCAAGGCTCCTGGGCCTTCCACTCCACCCTCAAGTCTTCTGGGCTCTGGGTTAACTTAGAATAATTAGCATTGTCCCTGTTAAGCTATTAACATGTATGCATAGATTCTTTCCTAAAATGTGGAGTACACATGTGTCTGTGTCAGTGTGCATGCAAGGGTGTGTGTGAAGTCCAGAGGTTAATGCTGGTTGTCTTCCTCAGTGACTACCTTATTTTTTTAAAAAATATCTATTTTTGGTCTTTTTTCAAGACAGGGTTTCCCTATAGCCCCAGCTGTCCTGGAACTATGTAAACTAGGCTGGCCTTGAACTCACAGAGATCCACCTGCCTCTGCCTCCTGAGTGCTGGGATTAAAAGCGTTCGCCACCACACCCGGCTAAATATTTATATTTTATGTGTATGCATGTATTGCCTGCATGTAGGTAAGTGCACTTGTATCATGCAATGCCTGCGGAGGAAAGCTGTTGGATCCCCTGGAACTGGAGTTACAGTTGTTAGCTGACATGTGGGTGCTGGGATTCGAACCCCCCCGACCCCCCCGTCTTCTGCAAGAACAGCCAGTGCTCTTAACTGCTGAGCCATCTCTCCAGCCTTATTTCTAAAAAATATTTTTATAATTTTATTACCTTTGTGTTAATGAGTGTATTGCATGCATGTAAATGCACCTGTGTCACGCAATGCCCGAAGAGGCCAGAGAGGGAGTCAGATCCCTTGGCTCTGGAGTTACAGATGGTTGTTAGCTCCTACATGGGTACTGTTAATCAAACTCGGGTCCTTTTCAAGAGCAGCCAGTACTCTTAACCACTGAGCCATCTCTGTAGTCTGTAATTTTTGAGACAATGTCTTACTTGAATAAGGTCTTGACTGGAACTCTAGACCGGGCAGGCCTCGATCTCTGCCTCCAGAGTGCTGGGATTAAAGACATGTCCACCATGCCAAGCAATTTGTATTTTCTTTTTTTTCGGTCTTTTTGAGACAGGGTCTCCCTGTAGCCCCAGCTGTCCTGGAACTCCCTATGTAGACCAGGCTGGCCTTGGACTCAAGAGATCCTCCTGCCTCTGCCTCCCAAGTGCTGGGATTAAAGGTGTGCACTACCACACCTGGCCTGATTGTTTTTTGAAACAGGGTCTCACTATATAGCCCAACATGTACTGAAGAGTGACTCCAGGAATCTTCTAGGCCTTCAGGACCAGGTTGGAATGGCTGAGGCATCCAGTTTCACTCATCTAAGTGATTGTCAGTGTGCAGACAAGTCACTGTTGGACTATTTAGTCCTTATTAGTTGCAAAACATTTTAGTAAATTGCCTTTTACAATATACATAAGAAAACCTTGCTAACATAATTGTTTTTTGCCCCCGTGCAGTGTTAGAGCTAATAAAAGGCCTTGCATATACTTGCCAACTGATCTACTACTGAGCTACAACTTCCTGATTTTCATGGGCTTCTACCAAACTGCCTACTTAAAAAAAGACACTTTCTAGGGTCTCTTGAGAGATGGCCCTGCGGCTAAGAGCACTTGGTGCTTTTCCAGAGGACCTGAAGAGTTCAGCTATTAACACCCAAATCAGGTGGCTCACAACTAACTGCCTGTTAACTCCAAGCTCTAGGGGATCTGAAGCCCTCTTCTGGCCTGAGGGTGGGTGCATACACAGGGTCCAAAACACACAAAAACACTGTAGGGACTAGGGCTATAGCTCAGTAGAGTGCTTGCCTAGCATATACCTTGATCCCCAATATGACATAAAAAGACCAGGTTTAGTGGTTATATGCCTGTGGCCCCAGCAATTTAAAGTGGAAGCTCAGTCTGGGATATGTGAGGCTATTTCCAAACCACAGCTGGGGGAGGATTGCTGCCTGCTCAAAGACAACCCTGGATACAAATAAGTTTCTCTCAAAAGAAACTAAAAAGGTTAACTCCTTTGTGTACAGATGTTTTATTCTCTTTACAAAAGAAATCATAATGAAAAGGAAATCTTATCACATAAAGGAATATAAAACTATTTATTGACCACTGTTCACCATTATTTACAATAAAGTAAACAATATACAGTTGGATAACATTCTGATACTACAAAGTTATTTTCCTGGCTGCTGTTGAATCAGTAACCCAAATACTGAAAGATTAAGTATACCAGTATGGAAATGC